ATTATAATAAAGTTATAATATAGGTCCTATATACCCTTTTAAAACCTATATTTTAAACCTAATACTTTTATTATTATTATTATTATTAGTTTTTAACTTTATATTAAATATAATGCTTAAAATGTTTTAATTTTTAATATTATTAAATAATATTTCTTAATAGTTAAAGTTATTATTATTATTTAGCTTTAAAATATTATTAAAATTTTTAATAGTTTTATTAAAGGATTTATTTATTAAAGCTTTAAATATAATATATAAAGTAATAATTAATATAATAATTAATATAATATTTAATATAATATTTATTATAATAAAGTTTAATCTTTTTCTTTTTTAAATTAATATATAATCTTTTAATTTAATATAAGGAAAACTTTTAAACTTTTATTCTTTTATTATATTTAGTTTTTTAAAATCTTTTATAGTTTTATTTTTAAAGCTTTATTAAACCTATTTTTTTCGTTAATTATTTTAATTAAATTAAATAAAGGATAAAAGATCTTTTAAAAAAAGTTTATATTATTAACATTTATAACCTTTCTACTTTTTAAAAGGATTATATAATTATAGGAACTTTAGTTTTAATAGTTTAACATTTTATAGGGTAAGGTTTATTTAATAAATATTAATTCCTTTTTATTTAATTAAAGATATTTTCTATTAATTTTTATTATTATTATATAATTATAAGTAAACCTTTATTTATACTATTTTTTATATAATAATATTTTAAATTAATTATTAAACTAATATATTATTATATAATAGGCTATTTAAATAATAATAAGCTAATATTTTTATAATATTTTATTATTTATAGCTTATACTATTATAGAAATTATAATAAATTTATATATTCTTATTACTCTTTTATAAATATTACCCTATTAATATTACTTTATAATAATAAATAATATTTAAATTCTTTAACTTTAATATATATATTTAAGTTCTTTACTAGTATTTTTTCCAGCTTTATTAAGTATAAATATATAATACCTTTATTTAAAGCGTTTATAATATTTAAGGAAAGATTTAAAGGCCCGGGTAAATTTTCCTTTACTTTTAAACAATAGTACTTATATTATTTTTATAAAATTATAATATATAATAGCAATATATATAAAGCCTTTATAGCCTTTAAATGCTACTTTAAGGATATTTATAATATTAATATATAATAATTCTAATAGGTAAATGCTTTATTAAAGCTTTTTTAAATAAGGTATTTCCTTTATTTTAATTTAAATATAATATTTATATATATAAATTAATTTTTAAGGCTTAATATATTTAACGTTTATTAATTTTTTAATTAAAGATTTATTAATATATTTAAAACGTTTATACTATAATGTAAGTTTAAAATTAAAAAGGGAATAAGTAATAAAAGCAGTAATAATAGCCTTAATATTTAACCTAGGTTAATTAACTATATATAAGCTATTATATTTTATACTTTTTAAAAATATATTATCCCCTTTTAAAGTATAAGCTTTATTACTTTAAAAAAGGAATTTAATATTAAGTTTTATAAAGTATAATATAAAAATTAAATTTATATTAATTATTAAATAATAAATTATATTTCTTAATATAATAAATTTCTTTATTTTATTAACTATATTAATAAAGGTATAGTTTTTATATTAAATTAGTTATATTATTAATTTATTAATTTTAATAATTATAAGGTATAATATAATATATAAATTAATAAAGCTAGTTAAGTTTAAAAATATAAAAATATTAATACTATTATTAATAATTAGTATTATTTTTAATACTTTTATAAAGCTATTAGTTCGATTTTTATTAATAATAATAAATAAAGCTTTTATAACTTTTTTTAAATAGTTATCCTTTAATATATTATTTAAAAGTTTTTTATAACCCTAATATTAATATCTTTAATATTAAATTTATTTTAAAAGGTATTACTTTAAAGTAACTTTTATATAAATCCTTTAAATATTAAAAATATTAAATTAAATATAATATTAATAAAATTAATAAAAATAGGTTAATTTATTAATAATAAATAAGTTATAAAGATAATATATTTAAAAGATTTAATAATAAATAAAGCTTATAATAATTTTTAAAAAAATATAAAAAGTATAATAAAGTTTACTTTTCTTTTCCCCCCTATATCTTTATTCCCTTTAAATTTCTTTACTTTATTTTTATATTATTTTATTTATTATAAATATATAACGCATCTCCCACTTGACCTGGCCACCCAATTAAGCTGGCCACCCCCTTAACTTATATAAAAGTCCAATGTTTCAATCTGTAATAACTTAACTAATATTAGCCCTACAATTTAATAATTAGTACCATTAGATCCGTTACTTAATGAGGAATCCAGCGGTATTTTTTATTATTTTTTACAAAATTTATTAAGCGAGATATTAATCAATACGCTAAAAGGGCGCTAGGCAAGGATTATTTTAATGCTTACTTTAGCGTATTGGCTAATAACTTTACGAATATAAATCGTATAAACTAATGGAGGGTACCGTTAAATAGCTCTTTTTATTATGAATTTAATGATATATTTTACTATTTTATATGACCAATATGCGTAGAGTTATTGAATTATTACGTGATTAGTGCACCGACGTTTTTTGTATGGGCTGGGGGGGTGGCCAGCTCAATTAGGTGGCCAGGTCAAGTGGGAGATGCGTTATCTTTATTTTAATTTAAAGGTTTAAATTTAAAATAAGTTATAAAATAAAAAAAAGGATATATTTTATTATAATTAAAATATACCTTCCTTTTATTATTAAGTTATTATTTAAATAAAAAAAGATTAGCTTTAATAATTAAAAGAGTAATTTATATTACTTATTCCTTTTAACCTTATTTAAAATATAATGCTACATTAATTACCTTTTTTAAAGTAATTATTATTTATATTATAATTTTAGCTATATTAATAATTGGAATTTTAAAAGTATTAATTTTTTAAATTATTAAAAAGGAATTAAATTTAAATTTAAAACTATTAATAAATTTTTTAATAATATATAAATATAATTAAATTAAAGCTAAATTAAGCTTAATTATATTTATTTAAATTTATTATAATATAATAATAAATTAAATAATATTATTAATAGATTTAAATATTATTTCTTTTTATTATTAATAATATTATATAAATTAAACCTTTCCTTTAAGCTTATAATTTTAATATAATTTATTTTATAATAAAATAAATATATTAAAAAGCTTTATTAATATAGGTTAAATTTATTAATAAGTATTTTATAATAGTTTATTTTAAATTATAATATTAATTATATTATATTTTTTAAACTATTTATCCTTTTTAATAAAGAAAATTTCTTTACCTTTTTCTTTTCTTTATTAAAAGGTTACTTTATAAAGCTTTCCTAATAATATTTAATTAAACTTATTTATATTAAGTTTTTTTTATATATTTTAACTTTATTTTAATTATTATTTTAAACTATTAAAAAGGGCTACCTTTTTAAACCTTTTAATATTATTTAATAATATTTTAATTAATTATTAATATTATAAGTAATATAATAATAATTAATAAGGTTAATTTAATTAATTTAATAAATAGGTTAATAGCTATAAAAGGTTTTATAATATAAGGTTAAATAATAATTAATAATTTTTAATTAATTTCTTTTTTAAAATTTAATATTATAATATATTATTAATATAAATCTTTTAAAAGGATATTTAATAAAAAAGGGTTTATAAAATAATTACCTTAAAAGTTTTTAATTAAAATAAAAGGTAAATTTAAATTAAAAACTTTAACTTAAAAATTAATATTAAAAAGAAAAGCGTTAAAATTAATAAAAAGATCCTTTAAAGTAATTAATTTTAAAGTTTAATAATTAAATAAAGTATTAACTTTATAGTTAAAAAGATCTTAATTATTAAGCATTAAAAAATAAAAAGAAACTTTAAATACCTTTAATAATAATAATAAAAATAAAGGTAATTAATTAATATAATTTAAATTTAAATTAATATTTTAATTATTTATATTTTTTTAATTAAAAAGGTATTTAAATTATATTAAAACTTTATATATAAAATAAAAAAAAGTTTAAATATTTAAAAAATAAATAATATTAAATATTTAAAATTATATTTAATTATAAAGGTTATAATAAATATTTAATAATATTTTTATTATTAAGTATTAATAATATAATTATAATTATTTTTATAATTATTAAAAGAAAAAGGTTAAATTAAGGATTTTTAAATAGTTAATTATATATAATTTATTTAACCTTTATTTATTTTAAGGAATTAATAGGTTAAAAATTTTTCAAATTAACCTTTAAAACCTAGCCTTATTAACTATTATTTAAAGTAATAATATTTCAATATAATCTTTATCTATAGGATTAATAAAGTAAAATTCTAATGTATATTATTATTTTGTATTTATAAATAGTAAAGGGTTAAAGATAAAGTATAATTTTAACCCTTAATAGCTAAAAATACGCTTAAATAAACGTTTGGGCTTATAACCTATTAAAAGTAGTATATATAATCCTATTAAATTATTTAAAAGTCTAAGTTATAATACAGTTATCTGGCTAGATAAAGGTTTTATATATAGATTCCTAGCATTCCAGTATGTGGAACGTAAGTATTACCGCCTTCCCTTTCTGACAGCTTTTGCTAGTTTTCCCTTGCTAGTTAGTACCTCACCTTAAGTTTTCAAGGGCCTCATGACTTTCATGAACTGCAGCCCATATATCTTGTGTTACAGCGGTGTTGATATTCCTAATCTGCTTGTATACTTCCTCTAGGTGCGAAGACGCACAGTAACTTCTGCTGTAAACATGTCTGAGTCCATCATCGTGCCTTAGATATGCGATATGTCCACATTTCTTGCAGCAGTAGGATAGGCTTACCTAGTATGAGGCACTTGGCTCTATCTCTAGAAAACTCTCTTAGTACCAAGTCTAATGTAGCACTCTCGACATGATTTAGCCATCAGATTCTTCAGTCCTTTGACATGAGCCGCACGGCTCAGTACCCCATTTGAATAAATCGAACACCAACTGCCGTTGTTTATAAAGCTCCCCTTCAGCTTTCAGTACGTGTCCCTTCGCTGCTTGTTCCGTACTCCAGGGACAAGGCGGATTTGACTGTATTAGATCCAGCATGGCAGCGTACATAATTGAGGTGTCTTTCTCAAGCGTATACAATTTCTCGCACTCGGCAAAGAACTTATCCTCCCAGTTTGGCCGGAAATGTGGTTCATGCGCAAATTCAGGTAGCCATTTGCTCTCATTAATCCCTCTGATTCTCCTTAGCTGTCGCCATGTCGTTGGGATTTCCCCTTGATTCGAATACTCATCTCCGAGACATGGCAGGCGCTCATGTTGATGCTCTAGGATAAATGCTCCGCACTCCTCGGGTTCAGTATGGTATTCCATATTTTCCTCCACGAAGTCGGCGCAATATTCTACGTACATATAGGGTACGCAGCAGGTGTGATACTCACACTTCCCCATCGGTTTGGAATAAGGAAAAAAGATATGAGCGCTCAAATCCATTGGCTGCAGATCGAGTTCGCATCGGTGGAATTGAGTGCGTGACGGGTTGGCGTATACGGGGGCGCCTGGCGAGATAGAATCTAAGATCATTGGTACCTGCACGTCGTGGTGCATGTAATGCGTGATAAGTCTACGACACATGTTGAAGGATGTCTCGTGGCAATTGAGAGAATACCTGGATGAGAAACGAAAAAAAGAAAATAGACGGCACCAAGACCGGCTTGGTAAAAACAAGCCTTAGAACAAGTGCACTTGGAGTGTGAGAGAGCGAAAGCTAAGATTTGCTCATACGTAGCTCTAAGACTACTCCTTGTACGGCTCTGAGGCTATTTAAATAGTCGTCTTGATGAGACAGTTGTGAGACAATAATCGGCTAGAAGAAACTGCGAGAGCTGACAGATTTATAGCGAGTGATGTTGACCCGTCTCGCGATTACGACAATGTTCTGTTTATAACAAGGTTTCTATTTTTAGACAAGATCAACAAAGGCATGAAAAGATTAGTTTTAAACAAGGTATTGTAAGCAATCACGACTGATTGACTCAGCTTTGTTTGTTTAAGGGTCGAAAGGGCGTGAGACTGCAAGAAGATAGATTCTACATCGATTGGTCAGAGCACGCATCATCGAGGGCCTTCTTTTGAATACAGAAAGTTCTTCTAGGCGATGCTTATGAATAGGTGAGCAAACAAATACTATCCACTAGCAAGGGCTCATGCTTGCCACGGTTGAAGCATCCTTGGGGATAATGCCTGCGTCAACAGCGCTCTTGTAGCACCACCTCCACTCATTGAAACCGGCGATCCAATTGCACTTCCAAGACCAGAATACCCACCCACCGGATTTCTCGAAGGTCTGCACTTGGGCAGCGAAGTACTTCTTGTACCAGTCATTGTTGGCGTCAGTGTCACGGATGTCGAACTCGCTATTGTATTGGGCATCATCCGCCACAGAGATCGACCACTCGCCAATGATGATGTCGTCGCCTCCTCGGTTGTCGCTGCACACTTCGGAAATGTAGCCATCCTGAGTGACTGTGACAGATGTGTCCCATTTGTAGTAACGATGATCATCGTAGAATGCGAAGGTGGTGTCGGGTAGGTTCTGGCTGGGGTTGCCAGAGCCCCAAGCTTCGCCCTGTATATGACGTTAGAACTTGAACAGGCACAGTGAATGAATGCAGACATACCATGTACTGAATGTGAAGCTTGTCGCCATCTGCGACTCCAAGTTGGGCTTCGCGGTCGCGGATTCTAGTCCAGGCATTCGGGTAGTAGTTGGCCACCATGTCTGCAGCTTCTGAAGGGTAGTCGCCAGCGTGTACAGGCTCGTTGATGACTTGAAGCATTCCCACGTTGAAGTATGCTGAGTTGGTATGGATGCGCTCTGTCATCCACTCCAAGAACTTGTATGCACGTTCATAGTTATCCCCATTGTAGAACCCGGGAGAGTCGACGGAATGTCCAGTGTACTGCTGTTTAGGAAATTGAACCCCAGGGCCCCCATGAAGGTCCATGATGACATAAAGACCCAGTTCAGTGCAGTTGCCGACAACATAGTCCAGGTACTCAAGGCCACCCCTTGGATAGTATTCACCATCATTCACGAGGTCCTCGTTGATCCAGAATCCCACCGGAATGCGAACGGTGTTTAGGCCGTAGCTTTGAATCTCCTGGAGATCGTCGGCGGTGATCCAAGTTTGCCAATGCGTTCGGAATGCCGCGTCTGCAGCGTCTTGACCGAGAGCCTGAACGCATGACCACTCGTCATTGGTGCCACCACAGCCCATGCTATTCCATTCATCGCCCGCCATCCACGGCTCGATAATAAAAGAAGAACCGAGGTTCACACCACGAATCTTGTCTGAGCCTGGAAGCCATCGTCTGCTGTGTTTTATCGTGCCGTGGGGAGAAGACGATGGAGAAGCTGTACGCAGGTGAGCGAAAGATAACTGCGAATTAGAGCAACCAGAACATACGTCTCGATTCGACAAGTGAGGCCATTGCGATGGCCATAGCGGCCGAAGTTTGTGAGGTGAATCGCATGCTGCTAGTGTGGCTTTGAAGCTACCGAATCGCACTTCCGAAGTGGGATCTCATTCCCAACGCGAAGAGCAGCCGGGAACACACCGTCGCGATTCAGTGTTTGGGGGCTCCTTACATAGTTTATATGACACCTCAGGCAACTGCGCCTCTAGTCAGCTAAAGTAACACGAGCCATCTCATGACTGATGACCTTTTCCATTGACGTTGCTTAATTCGGATGGCCTTAGACGCTGCATATGATTCTGGGGGCGACTCAAGCACCTCCTCCATCCGGGTAGATCTGAGACGATCATGACCCCACAGAGGCTAGAGTCGTGTTTTGCGCCGAACGGGTTTACATGTGCACAACATTCTAGGAAGGTTAACGGCCAAAGTAGCCCCTCGTCCTCCGATCCTTCGATCACCCTTATGGTGATTTGTTTCATTAAATTGGTCGCTGCGGATGCACCTCGGCGCAAGCCCATGATATTGGGATCGGGAGCCAGGATCGGCGCGGAGCCGACGCGCTATGCTCGATTCTCAGGTACCAAGCATCTTTCTTGCATTTCTTAGCCAGATTTGTCGGCCAGTACATCGAATACGACTATCTATGCTTCAGGTGAATGAGCTTGAATTTGTATTGTTTTTTTGCCTTCCTTGAATTGATTGATGGCCGAGCCAACTCATCCGATAGAGCTGGTGATTCCAAAAGCTGACTGAGTTGCTTTTGGGGCTGGCGCCAGCGGCATACCCCTGAAATCTATCTGGCGTAGGGCTGCCTCTCCCCCTGAACGCCGATCATATCATACTAATGCGGACACGCCGCTGATCCTATAATTAGCGATCATACTTACTTAGCAGGCAGCTTGATGCCGCCTGGACTGACTTTTCAGTTTACAAGATAATATTCTTTTTTTACCTTTCTCAGCTTTCCTCATGGAACTCACAATTATCAGTCGATGCCATCCTCAGATGTAAAAGAGTGACATATGATTATGGTATACACCCCGCCTAAAAAGAGCTGTTTGTGGTGACGCTTATGTCTTATCTCACGCAGTAGCACTACGGTCTCTCATAAGTCTCACCAGCACGCAAACGCTTATTAGCCATTGACATCGCACCGCTCATTTTTATGAACAGCATGTCATAACAAAGTCGGCTAATTAGACTCCCATTTGAAGATTTTGGGATGAAATTATATGTTACAAGATATTAATGATAATATTTGAGCGATCCGAAGCAAGATGTTTGAATGCGCGCATTGATGAGGTCTTCAGCCGCAGCGCAAGATAAGATTACAGAGTTTAAAGGCGATCTTATTGGCCCTCCTCTAGTCAATTGACAATCGACATGGTCTACCTTTCACTCTATAGTCTTCTACTTGGGCATTACCATGGGTAGACCTTTCATTGATCGCAGACTAAAAGAAATGCAATCTTCTTTGACAAGTAAAAATAGCACCAGCTTTTACAGCTGCTTTGAGACGGAGCTACAATAACCAGTAGACTACCTGTGCTTTCGTCGAATGCTATTCTCAAAGAGTTCTTCTATTGTAAAGGAGTCGCATTCGCCCAGCTAGTATAAAATATCTCGTTGCATTTCGCCGATGCCATGGAAAAAACACGATTATACAATATTTTAGGAAAATACGGATTTGAAAACTCCCAGCTAGGTTCAACATGTGTCTCAAGATTGTGAATCACACAATGATATGTGATGTGCGACCGGTGATGCGTCACCCATCTATCCCAAACTCACACATCGTCAACCCTTTCACAGTCCCAGAGGATAAATGCTGTGCAGCCAGCAACCCAAAGACCGACGATGATCTGCCATGTCCCACACATGGATGTTGTCAGATCACCGTCCGCTCGTTTCCGTGCGAGTGCGGCAATACAGTCGGATATCACCGCTACACGATCGCAAGACCGCCGTCTGCTTACACAATTGAAACGGCCAATATCCCAAGTCGGGGAGTCTGGCGGAAGCTACAAAGCCTTGACGACATTCCTAGCGCCGGTGCCAACGCTCATCCTGCTCCATCTGGAGAGCTACAGATCGCGCGTCGGGGGTTCAACCATGCCGTGGTGGAGCTCGGGAGAATGGCAACACAGCTCGAAGTTGCTTCTAGGAAGAAAGGGTTGAAGGAGGCAAATCTGAAGAATGGTGCTCCGTATGAGAAGCAGGTTCAGACTGCACGCGCTAAATTAGAGCAAGTGGCAACTGTAGCTCGAGATGTTCAGAAAGCGTATTACACGTGGATGCACATGAAGAATAAATTTGAGCAGGCGGAATACGGCAAGGTCTCTGCTGTTGAGATGTCAGCTTGAACGAGAAATACTGTTCTGCGAAGCGCTTGGAAGCGTCACGGAGCATAGATTTGAGTACATAAAATTAGTCAGATGAATATCAAAGCAGTTTGAATTGAGCAACAATATGTTTGAGTAAGGTATGTGACTTACGGGCCCTATTTTCATCGTCATATAAGCGCTTTAGATAGACAAGAGCTGAGAGAACATGACATTGAGGCCAACAAACTAAACATTGTGATCAGCGTCCAAGCACCAGATTAAATAAACCTAAGCATGAAAGCTGTGGCCTGTATAGATTTATGAACCCGAATTTGACTCAAGTCTAGGAACTAAATTGAAAAGAGCGCAACGTCAATAGATCGACATATGCTCATCTAATCTATAGCCGTCACATAAGCCTCCTAAGTATGAAAAGTATGTCATATAGTTTATGTCTGAGATATGTGTATCTGCCCAATATATAAAGGTGAACAATGGACCTACGTTTTGTAGCATATTATGTGAGTTGCCAAGTTTACATGAGATGGAAATCAAGTGAGATGATAGAGGAACTACTTCAAATGTATAAGGAGTTTATGGACGATTGAGAGCTGAGTAGTTATAAGTGGCATTACTACTAGTCAATGTTCATGTATGCTTAGCCAAGCGTGTGAGGATATTCTTACCTGCTGTAATATGGTTCAATGAGAACTTATTGTCAGTCAGTTCATGTCGCTGAGATACATCTGATGATCGTGATTTAATACTAGGCTCTAGATGTAATCTCATAATCGTCACAACTTTCCTTAGACGCATGTAGATGTATATATTTATTAGCCCTTTGCACACTCATGGCCCAAGTGCTTTCGGTCGAATAGAAATATGGCATTACGACTCAGGAACAGAAGCCCTAGTGTGAGTTATACGAGTCTAATCAATCTCACACAACCAGCGAAGTTTGAAGTCAGCAACATGTTGTGCTGCGTATTAAGGGTTTTCCTCGAACACTCTTACCCCAAGTATGTCAACTTGAGAAATCACAGTTCACCGGAAGTGGAATCATTTGCGCAATATACAAGTATGATGGGAGTAATTTCCGTCACTCATATTATAGGAGATGAACGATGAAACAGAAGCACATGTCTCATGAGGCATATTTCTGAATGCTCTCTTGACATTGAAGACTAAGAGATTTCATTATAGGAAGTTCAATACATGAGTCTTATGAATAGCACAGATATGCCCGAAACAAACGAAGTGAGCGGTCTGAGCTCTTGTAGGTGCCTTGTCCATTATGCTATGTCAACGGCTGCGGATGTTAGCCTCACTCCTCGCATTATGCCGGGCTTCCTTCAACTCCAACTCTCATTGTAGAATAGAGACCCCAAAGGTAAGGAAACAGTCATCCTTCAAGGCTTGATGCGTAAGGGTTCGGATCTGGGTTGTAAGAGATGTAAGCTGTCCATCAAATTTAGATACAATAAGCATATGAACTTATTGGTTTGTTACTTCCTTGCAGCAACATCGGGCCTAATTTGAAAATTTCTCACTTCGCCGAGTGAGTCATCGTTGCGTTCATTAAGACGAAGTATGAGCAACCACCATGAAACCCAGTGAAGAACGATGACATAAGTTGATCGGAGGCCTCCCACGGAGAAATCGCCACATTCCTCCAAACTCATTACAGGCTTCAACCTAGTGATTGCAACATTTCAGATTCGATCCTACTGATTACCTAGGACGGTTAGTTTTGCATCACGAAGAGATCGACATGCGTAGCCCTACTGTAACAACTGGCTTAGGAAACAAGTATTAGTCACCAGGGGATTCATCTGAAGATGAGTCAAGAAGTGTTCACGTTATGTGCAACGCTGGTAGGCTGTAGCAGTGACGAATCCAATAATGCAGCATCCATTGCGATATCAAATATCTGGCATTGAGGTAGCTGGCTATCTACGTGACTGACCCTTCGCGGCCCTTGGGGATGGCAGGTCACTTGATCACAAACACGTCTGTTTCACAGAGTTCTGCATTTTCAGCTTTCCTTGAAAGACACGGCCACCCCCAGCTTGCGTTGGTTTCGCCTCAAATATCTACCCCAATGCATTGACACAGCCGATCACCGTGACCTACCCAAGCATAGAAGAGTTCGGATTACGAGGGCAGCAATCAGATTTTGGTACCCGTAAAGATGTGGCACGTCACACAGCGCCAGTAAAGCTCTTTTGAGTTCCGGTGGCGTGTGTAATGCTTCGTAGAGTGATATGTCTATCAAAGTAGTCAGTCATAACAGGGGCGAATCTACAGGATCACAGTAGCGAGCATCACATCAACTGATATAGTAAAAGCCTGTTCTCCATCACGAAAACAAGATGATACGATGATAAATGATAGATATTACAGCATGGTTCGATGCGATCTAGGCACGTCGCGAAAGAGCGAGACAGGGAAACGCCAATGTTGACAAAGAATTGTGCGATGCGATAAGGGCTAACCTGGAAACCCTTGGTACCTATCCGACCTAGCCAGGCACAGCCGCGGGTATGCATCGGGGATCCTAGGAGAGATGTCTTGATGATTTGATTCCAGTTGGATGGACTGTCGTCGGAGGTGGATCTACCTCGGGTTTATACTGCTGCCTGCACACAGTCCTGACATTGCCATGCCTACTTAGCATACCCGTACACTATCCTACCTTACTGCGCCTACCTATTGCGCTCCAGCGCGAGTCCGTCTTCCGTAATATCCGAAAGCCAAAGGTTACGCGGTAAGTGTGCAGTCCATCCACTCGTAGAAGGCGTCGCTGCCAGTCACCATCGCACACATCGACAGGCCCCCCCGATGTCGTAATCTCGGCCCTACTGTGCACACTACTAGCGGTGGGCGTGTAGCCGCCACCACCAAGGACTACATCGTGGGTGACGAGGCGATGCCGGAGACCCTCCCTGCCTGGCTGCTTGCCTGCCAGTGAGCAAGTAAGTAAGTAAGTGTCGGTGGGATTCCCTGTTGGGTAGCCAACGTTTCCCAATTTGCGTTAATGTCGTCTAAGTAGGTAAGGGCTTGAGCGGAGAAAAGTCCCAACGGTGTGTATGGTATAATAGTAGGGTAAGGGTATGGCTTATTATACCTATGTTGAATATCGCGTGTGTGACTCACTGACATTGCGTCGCAAAATATTACATACTTAGGTGCGGTAGGGCCGACTGGGTATAATCCTACCAAGCTCAACCCTGTCCCGCGCGGAGATAGAAGTCTAGGTAACTGTGAGCAAAGCGGAGATAGGCTATAGCTAGCTATTTGACTAATCGATGCTGACGTGAAGAAGGGAATTACTTATAAAAGGGGTATATTTGTTGAATTGTATTGTGTGGGATGTTTGATTTCCCAGTTGTCGGGTTCTTATCGCCGGGGCCCTTGTCGCATTCGGAGCTGCGCGTTTGACATGCCCCAGGCACCAATATCTCCGGATACTTACCTTGTCTTGGACTCGAGGAGTCGAGATGCCTGATAACAGGAGGCAAGGGGTGTCAATAACCTACATACTACGCATACTACCTACTGTAGGGAATATCAATATTATAAACATCCAATATCTACCCAAGTAGGAAGACACACTAGTGTAGAATACTGTAAAGTATTACGTAGCAGCGTATTGTGTGGCGTAGTAGGGTTGGTAAGAAAGTATCAAGTAATGGGTAAATTAGTGGCAGCAAATAGCATGGTAAGAAAAGCCTATAATGCCGAAATAATGATCCGGGGGGAAAAGTTTTCATGACGTCGAGATTTGTCAACTCGGGCCTCAGGCACAAAATGCCACCACCAAACACCCGACGACACAGCGAGGGAACAAAAGAGGGAGGCTTCCGGAATAAGTGGAGTGGCGACGACGCGCTGGTCCGGGAAGACTGTCTTCCGTCGCTCAAGCTGCTGCGCGCATGTCATGATGGTGCTGTTGTAACATACCGCATCGAATTAACTTACTCAAAGTTAACAGCCCTGATTTGAGCCCAGCAATTATTTGCCCATGTTGCTCACGTCTTGATCCTTGGCTTGGCCATTCATATGCCGGGGTGTCGGCTCAGCCACACATTGAAAGCGCGTAATTCAGGTCTTGGTATGACCAGCATTATTTTATTTCATTTTATTTCATGCCTTCTGTATGTACTTATGTATATACCTATTGTTTTTTTCTCTCATAACCCTGCCCACGAGGGGACACGTCAACAGGCTTCGCTCCCGAAAATCTGGGTCGAGTCGACTACTATGTGCTTGTATTTGCCCCAATAAGAGACGAGCTTGGGAAAAAGCGAGGCAAGCATCGTGCATGTGCATGCTGTCAGAGACGCCCTACTAATGTGGCTCGGCTCTTCACCATGATGGCCGCACCCTGGATGCATCGCCGCTTGGCCGGACTGCTCGTAACTGTGTCACACATTTTCCGCGCGCACAGATCATTTGTTGGGGAGTGTGAAACTGTTATACTGTATCTGTATCTACCGTATCTATATAGGACTCTGCCCGCCTTATCCTAGGGAATCCCTCGCAGTATTCTAATAAGATGCTGTTATCTCGGTGGTACGACGGAGTGAGAGACGAGAGGCAGCCGATATCTACAGCAAGATAGAGCCCAACTTATCATTGGGCCAACACCTGTAACACAGCTGGGCGGATGAGGGCCAGGTGAGGGCAACGCATGATCATTATCGAGATTTGTACAACGCAGCACGGCAAGGGAAATCAAGTGCATAATCAACAGCATCTCATTCAAACACTATCTCGTGATAAGCATTCACGATATCACATCGCTGAGGCTAAGCTAGCGCCGACCATTGGGACGAGTGTCATCGCGATGACTCGGGCTGCATTCACGTGTAATTGCTCCTTACCACATGGTTGGATAATCCTTTTCGTAGTGCAGGTGGTGTGGTGCGAGCTGCGACAGATTTGACTGGTTACGCCAATTCTAGCTATCGGTTGATATGGGGCCCGAAGGAACTGGATCCGTCGAAGGGGTTGGTTCGAGGTGTCTTAATATCAGTTGAGCATTCCCACACCACCGAGATCGCGATGGTAAGCAGAGTAGCAGTACTGACGACGGTATCAGAGC